CCCAGGGAGACGCTGGGATCCTGTCCGATGGGCTGCTGCTCTGGCTCAAGCTGCGACACGTCCAAGGGAAGCGGTAGAAGGCAGAGTCCCCTCTGCCCCCAGTAATTTTCCTGCTTTTAATGATTGCTGGCCCCATAGAAGGGAGGAAGAAAGCTGATGGCGTTAGTGTGGTGTGCATCCCGGCAGGAATGGAGGGTGGATGAGGATCACAGAGGCTGCAGTTGTCCATCTCTGGGTGGTTAAGCCCACGAGAGCTGCAGGAACATAGCTAACTAGGGGCTTTAAAGCATTGGGTTCCAGGGTCCATTTGAAACCTTCCCCTTGCATCTGAGTGTCTAAGACAGATTTACACACACCAGGAAAGAAAACACCTTGCCCTGTGTAAAAGCAACCCTCTTGCATTGCTGAGGAGCTGTTGTGAACGTGCCTCCAGCTAAACGTGAATGTGACGTAGCCTCGCTGCTTGCAAACAACACTCGTTTATCCTTATCAGCTGCTGCTGCTTTTTTTTTTTTTTTTTAATCAATGAGCTTTTATACAACCTTTCTCTCCAGGGAAATGGAAGGAAAGAGATAAAGTGACAGCAATGTAGGGCTGTGATAATGGAAAGCAGCGTTGAACAGGTCTGTGATTAGAGGAAGGCTGGTCCTCTGCAAGGGGAATTTGTAAGACATTAAGCATTTAATATTTTAACCGCTTGCATCCCTTTGTCAATACATTGCTCTTCTCCTTAGCTGAGAGGTTTTGAATGCATCAGGCAGGCGGGAGGACAAATTCCCATATGTCGTGTCTCAGTGAGGCCAGGAAAGCTCTCTGATTTTTGGTTGTGGGAAGACTGATGGTCCCCTTGGCCACGTCATGCTGGTGGATAATGAGAATTTCTTCATTTATTTGACGCCCCAGGTTAAGGTGACCCCTTTGCCCACAGCCCAGGGCTTAGGTAGGTGGATGTGTCCTCTGGCCATAATCAGTAATATAAAGGGGAAAGTGAGAATAGGCAAGGAGAGCAGCAGTTAGGAGATACAGCAGTGTGTGTGCTGGAAACGTTCAAGGCCAGGCTGGATGGGGCTTTGAGCAACCTGGTCTAGTGGAAGGTGTCCCTGCCTGTGGCAGGGGGTGGGACTAAATGATCTTTAAGGTCCCTTCCAACCCAAACCGTCCAGTGATTCTATGATTTGCAGCACCCACCCCATCCCAGCACCGCCACTGTCCTCTTGCCTGATCTGCCAGAAGCTTCCACATCAAAAAAGAGAAGTCAGGACACATCTTCTGAACTTTAGGTTGAGGCTGTCCCTGTGGTGCTACTGACCTTAGCTGGTCTTGCTCAGGAGATGCTGCTGCAGGACCGGCTCTGCACTGAATGTGTCTGGGTTTATATGAGCGTTCCCGTAGCGACTGATCATCCAACACCAGCCCTCAGTCACTCCTGCCGCATCCTCATCTCTTTGATGCTCATCTCTTGGCCTGTCATTCCCTAGTGCACATATGCTGAAATGCTGGTGTTGCAGGAGACCAGAATAGCAGCTTTGCTAAAACTTGGGGATCTCATTGGCAATAGGAACCCAGCGTGTGGCTGCACCTTCGATGTTGAGGCTGTAGTGTTGCAGGCATCTATCCACGGGCATCACCAGAGGGATGCTGGGTTCAGTGTCAGGGGACAGAATCACAGAAGGGAAATAAGCTGCTCGCACTGTGAGTTGGGGGAGAGTTGCCACTGCTTTACCTCATGTTTAGGGCTTAAGAACACAGCCAGGCACTTAGCTGAGCTTGCAAGTGTGCTGACATGCTCACTGAATTCAATGGCATGAAGTCAGTGGTGTGGAGCACCTAAATATGCATCAAAGGTGGCTCGTAGCTCTGCGTGGGTGCATGTCCTGTTGTGGCGATGCTGAGTCTGGGCAGGGTTCCTGTGGCAGCTCCCGAGGGGCCCTCGGGACACCCCACCTCCTGCCTTCCACCCTGCTGCCTTTGGGTTCTTCTCCCGGAGCTGGCAAAGCTCAGGCTGGTGGAGAAGACAGTACAGGGCTGGTGAATTCCTTGGTGTCTCCTAAGTGTGCAGACACGATAGGGAGCAAAGAAGGTGGCTGGTAGAAGCTGGTAAATCATCTTTGCAGGGAAGAGATTTATATTGCATATAATTTCTCACCTTGGGTTTTTTTTTTTTCTCCTTTGCATAACCTGTAACAAATGCTTGTTTCCAGTCGGGCTGGAATAGACACGTCTGTCTTTTTATCTTGGCTGCACCCACTCTATTATAGCAGAAATGAGCAGAGCTATTCAGCTAATTTCTCTGCCTGGCTGCTCGACCCTGGCTCACTCCTCTTGTTTTCTGTTCTGCGACATCAGCAGCATGGCTGGTTCAGGAGAGCTTGTTTTCTTGGGGCAGTGTGATAAGGACAATCGTTATGAAGAGGCATGAAACAAACAAAAGCATCCAACAGTTGTTCTTGGCCTAATTACTGATAATTAAATAAAAACAGAGCTGCCCATCAGGGGGGAGAGCAGTGGGCAGAGCGGTGTGGGTGGTGGCCAGTGCCCCTCATCGGGGTGTCGGGGCTGGCAAAGACCCGCTGCCAAAGGAGCCGTGGCGGTGGTCTGACGTGGTGCTCACCAGCCTTGCACTCTTTTTCAGCTTGTGGCAAGCTGACGGGAATAAGTGACCCGATCACAATTAAAACCTCGGGGTCCAGGTTTGGATCGTGGATGACTGACCCTCTCGCTCCCGAGGGAGAGAACAAGGTAAGATCGCGACAGCTTCATCCCTGTGTTTCCATCTCCACTGGGCTGAGGTCATTGAAAACTCATTACATCCAAGCACCAAAATCCGGGTTGTGACTTGTGAAACCTGTGGAAGGCTCTAATCCATCTCCCTGGCCTCCTCTGCAGTGGGAGTGGGCTGAGGAGCCACAGGGATGGAGGATGAAGAGGGAGCTGAGCAGCCCCACACAGTGGTCCCTGCCTAGGGCAGGTGAAACTCACTGCAGTGATGAGCGTGTGTGGTCTCAGACATGTCACCGCGAGGTCTGTCCCCCCACGAGAGGGAAAATCCAATATTGTGTTTGTTGTCTGTGTTTGGCAGCCAGCAGGGAGCTGAGGCCAAGCAGAGAGACCCATAGTCCCAGTCCCTGCTGCTCTTCTGCTGCCAGTGCCTGTGATAATATCACCTGACTGCATCTGCGCTCCATCCTCCCCCTCCATTGTTGTGAGGAATTAACTGACTGCAGCCAGAGAGAGATTTGTTTTGCTTTGGTTTGGTCTTTTTTTTTTTTTTTTTCCATTCAGACCATTCAGTTTTGATCCCAAGGAGGTAGGAGGCCAATAACTGGCTGAAAATCAATCCAGGCTTCCCATGACTGATGGAACGGAAAATATCTCGAGTGTTTGCTGTGGATTTGCAGGCAGCAAAACAAAACAAAAACTACAGAGCTTGGCTGCATGGTAATTCCCCCGTGCGTGCAGCAGATGATGAAGGCACGGGCAAGGGCTGTGCTGGGGCAGCTATTTTCAGAGCTCTGCCCTGCGATTGCCTTTCTGTAGCTCAGAGAGGGTGAGGGATGCTCCGGAGGAGCATCCCAGGAGTGGCTCCATTTGCCTGTGGATGTGCAGCAATGAAGCAGCAGTGACTTGAGATGTCGGGCTCCTTCCCTCCAGCAGCCAACTGGTTGGCACTGGTTCCCCAATTTGACACCTCCGTATTTTACAGTTATTAAGCAAAACAACATCTCTAGCCCCAATAAGATCCTAATGATGAGGTGGGATGGGAAGGCTTTGCCCACATCACATCGTGTTTTGCTCAAGAGAGGACTTGTCCCCTTCAGGCTGTGCTTGCTGCATCCCTCAGCACTAATACGATTTATACATCTGCGAAGGAAGAGTCAGGCCTGTTGCAGCTGAAGCTGGTTGATGAAATGTTGAAGATCTTCCCACGTCTTCAGAGAGTTTTGTCTCAAACCAGTATTTTAAAATATTTTTTTCCCCCATGCCAATATTTTTTTATTCTGCAGCGTATTTTTTGTTGTGAGAATAGACAAGCAGTTTTCTCTGGACCCAAGTTTCACAAGCCTGTGTGTGTATATAACATATAAATCCACTGGGAATTTTGTTAGAAACACACAATTAAGTGAACTACATTGGCTACCCGACAGAGCGGGAAACTGGTGATGGGGCTAGCTGGGCAGTTTATCATAGCCATCCCATGCCGCCAAGCCCCGGAGCTGTTTGGTGGCTCGTGTGGTCGTTTGTTCGTGTCATGAAATCATTGAACACAACTGGGGAAGATTGCAAGTCTCGCAGGAGCCGCCCGGGGCCCCGGCAGCAGGTGCATGCCGAGTGCAGGGGTGGACGTGTATTGGCAGGAGAAGGTTGCTCAAAGCCAGCCGGTGCGATGAGACGTTGCTATCCATCAATCCCTGCTTCTCCAAAGCATGAAATGCCGTTGGGTCCTGCCACCTTGCAGCCCCAGCGTGATGACATGGGGTTCTGCTCTTCTGGGCTTCTCTGTCTCTCTAAAAACTGAGCACAATGCATTGGCGTGTGTAATTTTTTCATACCAAATAATGAAATTGAAGCAGCAGAGAGACAATCAGATTTCTGGTGGGGTTTTTTTTGTAATTTCCCAGGCTGGTTTAGTTGAACGCAGGCATTTCATTAGGCGAGGAATGCTCTCCAGTGCCGCATCTGACAGCAGAAGCTCTCCCAGGCTGCAGGCACCCCTCTGCCGTGGGCGCAGAGACGTGTGTGGGTTTCTCTGGTGCTTTTGCAGCCACCCTCAAGCCCATGGCGGAGCTGTGAAGATCGGAGCCGTTTGCCACGCGTTCGTTCCTCACCTCTGCAGTGTTTCCAGGGAGGTAACGATGGGCTGAAGCTTCCCACAGACTTTTCGCAGACCCCGCGCGGCCTTTCCCATACAGCAGCCAAAAGCACTTTACATGCACCGCGTGTAGATGTTTGTCTGCTCTTCTAAGGGACCCTGGAGCCATATTGCAGAGACCATACCATCAGATTGTACAAAATTGCAAAAGCAGTTTGCACTACAGCATTACCCAAACCTGCATCCTCAAAGGTTTCCCTCTTGCTATGCAATTTACCTTTTCTCCTTCCCAAACAGTTCCTACAGAAAGCATCTATCTTCTTTTTAGGTAGCAACAGCGTATAGAATGTGACTCGCTGGCTGGATATTTCTTCTTGATATTAACTGCACAGCTTTATCATTTGCCTCGGAATTGGTTTCATGTGACAAGACCTGCTTTTTTTTAAGGAGTCTAGACAGTGTCCCTAGTGAACTGGTGCTTACAAGATGATCTAAAATCTCTCCCCCATCTACCAATAGCAAGATTTTGATGTCTTTGTCTCTTATATTTTAGCAGCCTTGCTTTCAGCTTTTGCTGCAGAAGTGTATGATTTTTAAACCAATATGGACTTTGCCTGAATTTCCTTGACAATGAGCGATTGCATCCATCACTCTGGCATGCCAAATTAATGGAGTTCTGCACAGCAGCTGGTGTAATTTACTGAGTGCTACCACGACGGGGCTTACGGGAGGCAAAAGCAGCATCAGCATAATATATAATATGCTGAGTTTAGCCAGAGAAACGATGGTAATTGCCCTCTGGAAGGACTGTGTCCATCAGGCAGCTGAAGCTCCCAGGTTCCCAGGGAGATACCAGGTTTCCTCCCAGGAAAGGTTTGCTATTTAATTGATATCTTGGCTGATTTTCGGGTTCCAAAAATCGGGTTTATTTCTGGGCTTAGGTGGCAGGCGTTGGACGCATCGTTTTCCAGCAGGTTGGATGCCTTGCTCTGGATTTCGCTTCCAGCTCAGTTTCTAGGGTGATGTGCAAAGGGCTCAGCCAGGTCTCTGGTGTTTTCTAACCCCATGTGTTTCTGTTGCTCGCCCAGGTCTGGTACATGGACAGCTACCACAACAACCGCTTCGTCCGTGAATATAAATCCATGGCAGATTTCATGAATACTGACAATTTTACCTCTCACCGTCTCCCTCACCCATGGTCGGGCACTGGTCAAGTGGTCTACAATGGCTCTATCTATTTCAATAAATACCAAAGCCACATAATTATCAGGTTTGACTTGAAAACAGAGACCATTCTCAAGACTCGCAGCCTGGATTATGCCGGCTACAACAACATGTACCACTACGCCTGGGGTGGCCACTCAGACATTGACCTCATGGTGGACGAGAACGGGCTGTGGGCCGTCTACGCCACCAACCAGAACGCAGGCAACATCGTCATCAGCAAGTTGGACCCCAACACCCTGCAGAGCCTCCAGACCTGGAACACCAGCTACCCGAAACGCAGCGCCGGGGAGGCCTTCATCATCTGCGGCACGCTCTACGTCACCAACGGCTACTCGGGAGGCACCAAGGTGCACTATGCCTACCAGACCAATGCCTCCACCTACGAGTACATTGACATCCCCTTCCAAAACAAGTACTCACACATTTCCATGTTGGACTACAACCCCAAGGATCGGGCCCTCTATGCCTGGAACAACGGGCACCAAATACTTTACAATGTCACCCTCTTCCACGTCATCAGGTCTGACGAGTTGTAGTCCATCCTTGTTTAGAAACTGATTTAGGAAAAAAAAAAAAAGAGAAGGAAAAAAGGGAGAAATTAATTTAAAAAAAATACTAGTATCAAGGAAACACACTTTAAATAAGTAAATATATAAACAGCTGCCAAAATTAAGACCAACATCATGGAGGATTATTCAGCATCAACCTGAGAGATCAGCATTACCTCTACATTTCTAGAAGTCTGGCCCTGTGTTATAGACTCACGAATAACCATGTACTTGCAGCTGGAACTGCACTTGAAGAACCACTTCAGTTTGGGGTTTTGTTTTGTTTCTGTTCCGATAGCAAACCTATAGTACATACTAAAGAAGTAAGGCAATGACTGTTGAAAGTTTATCCTTGGGAGACTCGCTCTCTTCTGTGTGTGGGTTGCATGGACATTTTCCCAGCATCACGGTCAGCTGTGATGGATGTGTGATTTGTATTCCTAAGCAGAAAAAGCTGACCCGTGAGGAGCTCTCGCTGTCTGAACAAGATCTATCACAGGTTAGTTTTCTTCGCTTTCCATTGCAGCTACTGTCTCTCAACTGTGTTCTTGTCACTTAGATTAACTGTGCTGAGACCCGAAGTAGCTCATGGATCTGTGTCTTAGTAACTATTAAACACGATGGTTTAAGTACGTATTATGAACAAGTTGTTGTACCCATATTGTTTGAACTTATGTATTCAGCAAATATATTGTATAATGTATGTCTGTTATTTACCAGAGGTGGCAAAACTTTGTATGTCCAGTTTATGCAATGAATGTTGTAAATGCAATGATGTAGTTTGGATTAATAAATGATGGTTTTGTTTCTAAAAAGAAAAAAAAAAAAGATCAGTGTTCACCCTTATACACAGATAACCAATTTCATGTTGATAATTACAAGAATATTCTCTTACTGTTATACTATCTACATAGCATTTTGGTGGTTGGAAATTGCTTCTGTGGAAATTCTGTGGCATCAGATTCCCATGGGAAGCCCTGTTTATGGAAGTGTGAAGGTAATTAATTTTTTTTAAGAGGAAAACTTTGTACTATCCACAGTTATCTAAGGAACAATAAAAATATTAGGAGACTTCCCTGCTTTGTTTATTGTCTTCTCTGTATGAGTGACCCAGCATAGGGGAGGGGTAACCGGAATTACGGTGGGGTTTTTTGGGTAAAAAAAACATTTGTTAAATCAACCCTGACTTTTCTTACATCTTGAATGGAGTATTTATAGAAT